ATGGGATATATGCCTATTGAGCTTATGACAGGCCAAAAATCAATTATGCCAATTGAAGAAAAAATACCTACTTGGAGTGTGCTACCATGGAAAGATGGATTGACAAGAGAAGAACTTCTAGCTATTAAAATTCAACAATTAGAGAAAATATCAGAAGATGTGCAAATAATATTAGAAAGGTTAAAAAGAGCAAGGTTATAAAACAAGACACAATTTGATAAGCAGCATCGATTGAGGCCTACATCAATTGAAGAAGATGATTGGATTTTGGTCTATGACAGTAGCTTAGAAAATCAACATAGTGCTTTAAGGAAGTTTTCTAAACAATGGTTTGGACCGTATGTGGTAACAACTGTTCATGATAATGCAACTTATTCATTGTGGGAGTTAGATAGAATAAGGTTAAAAATACCAATTGCAGGGAAGCAAGTAAAAATATTTAAACAAAGATATACAGAAATAAATATAGAAGACCTTGGTGAAGATATAGATATTCCTCAACAAAAAGATGAATTTGACATGGATAGCAAAAATGATGAAGACGATTTAGACGAAGACTTGGAGAATGTATTATGAATCAAACAACAATTGGATTATTTGGTGCATACTAGAGGATGCACAGATTCAGAGAGGGTAGATGTCGTGTAGTAATACAACTATATGATGAAAATATAAATAAAAAAGATATTATTAATATTTAGTCCTCTTGGATGTTAGAAACAGTGGCCAATTTCAGTGCCAATATTTAGGGTCAATTAATGTCACCCCACAGGCGTCATCAAACCAAGTACCCTCCATACCAACGGGACAACCAGGATCATTTTCCAATCCTACATGGAACAAGCCTAGTAGGTATATATTGGTAGAGACACCTAATATGCATGATGGGAGTGCAGAAAGACCACTTCGTCATTTTCGTTGCAGACTAGGTTGGTCATTATGCTAATGAATGTTCCAATCCCAAAGCCCATAATGATTACGTGCCAGTGTGAAAGAATTGCAAGTAGACAAGGCATACTTATTAGCAATGTAATGCTCCATCCAATTTTAATAAACGAGATCAACAAATCTAAAATCAAGAAAAAATTGATGAGATAAATCAAGGTCCTCAAGATTCTCTAGTAAATTGGGTGGAATGAGTCTGAGCTATTCTTATCGAGAGTCGATAAAAGGGAAAAGGACCAATTCAATATTAAGGTGAGTCTGATGTGAAGGACTAATTTGACCCAATTATGGGGACATCCAATCCAGGTCCTGGTATGGGCCTCTTACCCAGTATGAGACCTGACTTGGTTGGCCAGCCCAAAGAGGTCTCGAATATGGAGGCTTTGATTCCATTTCAAGCTGTTCCATTCTCTATGCCGTTTTGGAAGAAACTTCCTTTCTATGGAAAGATCTTTTTAGAGATAGGAATTCTGGGGAAGCACCATCAACTGTTCTAATTCGAAGTCGAAGGTAGGAGAAAAGAAGACCACACGAAGTTAAAATGGAGGAGAGGATTTGGAAAGAGGCATTCGGAGATCAAGTTTTTGGGATCGGAGAGCTAGCTCCAAGTTCCTTCAAAAGGTGTACAATTGAATTCATAAGATTTGGGAGGACTTTGGCAATCGTTACTGAAAGTCATTGTTTGTATTGGTGAATTGGATTTTTTTTGTAATAAAGTAATGGCTGATACTCTTGACTGTTTTGTGAAATTGGAAAAACTTTTGCGATTGAAATTTAGAAGTGTCTAGAGGATTGAATATGCCGAGTGCATACAAAAGTTTTTATTAATCTAATGAAATAGATAGAGGATATTTGACTATTAGTATAAAGAGGTATTAAAAGGTAGCAAATTGAGGTTGTTTAGGATTTCTATAGTATCTAAAGATCTACGAATTGGAATAAGGTGACTTTTGGCGTAGTAAGTCAATGACATCTAGGCGGCGGCTAAGATACATTAGTATGGATTAATGGCATTTTCTTGCAACCTGTAAGTTAGATTGGATTGAAACTTCTTGAACATTTAGAAGGCTTGCAAAGACACTAGTGGTAGAAGTTTACAACCATCGGACGGTCATATTGAGAATTATAGCTTGCCGAAGCTTGCTGTCTCGGATTAAGGTTAAAAATAAAAATAAAAATAAAAATAAAATAAAATAAAATAAAATAAATAAAACTAACAAATAACAAAAGACTTGTACTTATAATTTCTTGAAGTTATTAAAAATAATGTTTCTAAGTATTTTGTAATGGATTAAGCTTTTACATTGAAATCCGAAATAATTGTATTTGGATGGTTGAAACCCACTAGCTTATCTGGATACTTGTAAAACATTGTTTTATCTTCCATAGTCAGACACCCGATGCATTCTCAAGTAAGATAGCACATAATACGACAACTGGGAGAGAAGATAATTTAATCTCTATACCACTAGAAAATTTCTACCAATGAGGAATTTACAATTAGATGAAAAGAGAGGATATGAAGGGTGGAGAGGGTCATTAAATCCCTTCAACCACTAGAAATGGGTTGTCAACAAGGAATTCACAAAGAGGGAAAGTAATAACCAATTTTGAAGAAGAGCTCTACCTTTGATGAAGATCCTTGTCTATTTGTAATTTAATTCTAATTCTAAAAATAATTCTGAATCCCTAACTAAGCTTCTTTCTACTTTATTCTAAAATTCTTCAAGCTCCTTTTTTAATATAAGTTCTTACACAATAATAACCAATAACAATACAAGGAAATTATATTAGTACAAGATAAAAAAAAATTAGATCAACTATTAATCAACTAGCACTCTATTGCTATGTCTCAATTATTGTTTTGGATTTTACTGCATTTAGATCTTTTCTTAAGTATTAACCATTTAAATAAAGTTCTTTTAAAGAAGAAAGATTTTCTAGATCACTTCACAAGCTTATCAAGCTTGAGCAACAACTCAAAGTAAGTCTTCTCAAAGAAGAAAGATTTTTCAATTCATTTGGCAAGCTTGTCAAGCTTGAGCAACCACTCAAATCAAGTCTTTTTAAAGAAGAAAGATTTGTCAATTCATTTGGTAAGCTTGTCAAGCTTAAGCAACCACTTAAATCAAGTCTTATCAAAGAAGAAAGATTTGCCAATTCATTTGGCAAACTTATCAAGCTTGAGCAACAAATCAAAGAAAGTGTTGTCAAAGAAGAAAGAATTGCCAAGTCATAGCTTGAGCAACTATTCAAAGAAAGTTTTGTCAAAGAAGAAAGATTTTTCAATATATTTGGCAAGCTATTCAAGCTTAAGCAACCACTCAAATCAAGTTTTATTAAAGAAGAAAGATTTGCCATATCATTTGGCAAACATATCAAGCTTAAGCAACCACTCAAATTAAGTTTTTTCAGAGAAGAAAGATTTGCCATATCATTTGGCAAGCATATCAAGCTTGAGCAATGACTCAAATCTAGTCTTTTCAAAGAAGAAAGATTTGCCAAATCATTTGGCAAGCTTGTCAAGCTTGAGCAACCACTTCAATAAAGAACTTTCAAAAATGAAAAATTTGCCGTATTATTTAGAAAGCTAGTCAAACTTGAGCAATAACTCAAATTAAGTATTTTCAAAGAAGAAAGTTTTGTCATATTATTTGGCAAGCTTATCAAGCTTGAGCAACCACTCAAATTAAGTGAAGTCAAAAAAGAAAGATTTATCAATTCATTTGGCAAGCTTGTCAAGCTTGAGCAACCCCACAAACAAAGTACTGCTAAAGAAGAAAGATTTCTCAATTCAATACTCAAGCTTGACAAGCTTGAGCAATGACTTAAATTTAGTATTTTCAAAGAAGAGAGATTTTCTAACTCATTTGGCAAGCTTGTCAAGCTTGAGCAATGACTTAAATCTAGTCTTTCCAAAGAAGAGAGATTTTTCAACTCATTTGGTAAGCTTTTCAAGCTAGAGCAATCAACCAAATAAAGCTCTTTCAAGGAAGAAATTTTTCTCAAATCATTTGGCAAGCTTAACAAGCTTGTGCACCAATTCAAATGTAAACTTCTCAAAGAAGAAAGATTTGCCATTTCATTTGGCAAGCTTGTCAAGCTTGTGCATCCACTCATATCAAGAGTTTTTCAAAAAGTTAAGTTTGTCAACTCTTTTGACATTATATTTAAAATTTTGTTATGAAGTAATTTTATATTTGATAAATTTTTAAGATTTTTAAATCCTTTTAGTACTACATTGAATTCGATATCTCCATCTAAATCAAGTCTCATTAATGTAGTAGTTGTAAGCAATGTTCTAGGTAGTGGTTTACGAAAAGTAAATCCTATTAGACTCAATATTGTCAATTCTTCAAATACTTTCCAAAACTCTTTGTTGCATGTTGCAGAGGGCAGCTTTATTTTTTTATTATAAATCCGAAAAAGATGATTATTATTTCTTAGTAACAAAATTTTTAACTTATTTGCATTTTCAACCAATAACATAAGTATTTTAAAGACATCTTTACTTTACTTTGTAACAATGTTACATATAAGAATTCGTAAAGAACAAAAGTGTAATCCTTTGATGATAAACCTTCTTGAGATATCTTTCATATTATAATCAAGAATTATACCTTCCAACTAATCAACATGACAAGAAAATAATTAGCAATTAAAATCCAAAGCTTTATCAAGTACTTAAATTATGTACAAATCTCTAAGTATTTCACATTATAACATACAAGTAATATAATGTTGTTCTTAATAAATATTAAAATATCTTGTACTTTATTTTCCTTAAATATTTATTTTATGTCAATAATTATATTTAAGTTATTCTATCACAATTTGAAAGTATTACCTTTGATGTTATTCCATGCATTGGCACCATATTTGCATTCCAAATTCGTGTGTCTTTGTATTCTTTTTCTTCTTCAACAATCTTTCGCCCCATATCTTGTAACTGATCATGTACTTTTATTACTCCATCTTTTTCTATTTTTATCATTGATTGATGAACCAACATATCCAAAACAATACTTCCATCTTGCTCTTCAACTCCACTTTGCTTATTGGTCCATATTTGTATTATAGTGCCTTTCATTGTACCACCCTATTTCACATTATTACAAAAGAAGCAACATATATCTAAAAACATATTTTTTTCTTCAACTTTTAAGGCATCAAAACTTATCTTCAAAATAGTCCATAGCTTATATTCACTATCTATTTCATCTCCATCCAAAGGTCTTCCTCTTCTTAACTTTTGCAAAGCTCTTTCCCAACATCTCAATCTCTTTTGTCCTCCTAAAAATGACCCCAAAACTTTTAAACTCAAGGGTAATCCATTACAAGATCTTACAATCTCTTTGCCAATCTCAATAAGTTCTTTTGGCAATTCATCACCATCCCTACAAGAATAAGCTGTAAATAACTTCAAACTTGCATCTTTGTCAAGTTCTTCAATATCAAATTTATGAATCTTTGTAGGATAGCTTTTTACTACCTCCCAATTTCGAGTTGTCACAATTAATATGCTACCTTTGTTAAAATGTAGAACATCCGAAAGTACTACATCATTGATTTGATTCTTGTCCTTCACATCATCTAAGACCAACATAAATTTTTTGCTCATCAATACTTGTTTCATCATAGCTTGTGCTTCTTCTAAATTCTTTAGTTTTGCTTCAAAGTTTAGTTAGTTCAAAACTTTGCAAATTATTGAAAGACCATTATCATTCTTTTGAATACTTTCAACAAAGCATGAGACATTGTACATGTGTTGCATGGTATCAAATATAATCTTTGCTAATGTAGTCTTTCCAATTCCACCCATACCAACAAAACACAATATATTTATTCCATTCTTGCATAATTGTTTCATGTTTGACAAACGTCGTTCTACACCCATTATATTGTCTTTACAAACATGTCTCTATTCAAATAATCAAATCATGATGTTAAAATAATATACAATTTATGCCAATCTCTAAAAAAAAAAAATCTAACCACATATTCATATTTTGACAAACCAACTTCATTAAATTACACATATTTGACTATGTAGATCTTGAAATCAAATAAACCAATGCAATGTTTATATTACACCAAATCTCAAATATAAAGTTTACCAATGTATCATCAACATCAACATCTTTTGATTTACTCCTTTCATGATCTTCTTTCTTAATTGCTCCAAAATGAGGTGTTTTGGCTACATCAATTCCCACCAAGTATTTTTTCTTCAAAGTTGTGAGTCTCTTGCAAATGTCTCCAAAACTAGGTCTTTTAGAAGGATTCAAAGTCCAACATTCTTCAATCAATTTACTCAAATCATTACAATTTAAAGGCAACTTTGGTCTTTCACCGCTTTCAAACTTTTTCAATAATTCTTCTTTAGAGTACATACCATTAAATGGATCTTCACCTGAAAGAATCTTAGAACATGTCATTCCAAAAGAATACACATCCGCTTCAAAAGCACACATCTTTATTGATTTCATTGTACTTTTCAATATCTCTGGAGCTGTGTATCTTAAAGTTCCATATATGTATGTATTTTCTTTAACTTTTGGATTCCTACCTACATTGATCTTTGAACAACCAAAATCAATCAACTTCACAACAGGATGATGAAAACCATTATTAGATTTACTATCATTTAAAATATTAAGTAGCACATTATCCGGCTTTAAATCTCGATGTGCAATTTACATGTCATGTAAATAACACATTCCTCTTGCAATTTGATAAATAACATCAATAAGAAAGTAGTATGGCATTGCTCTTTTTGCCTCCAATATGTTGCTCAAACTTGTTTGCATCAATTCCATCACCAAGTATACTTTCTCCCTTGAGTAATTCAATGTTGGAGACTCTCCATTCCTATTTGCATCACTTTTGGCAGCATAATAATATTTGATCAAGTTTGGATGGCTTGTAATAGCCAAGATACCTATTTCTTTTATGAACATATCATTCCAACTAGCATCCATTATTTTTGTTGCAATTGCAAGTCCAAACCACTTTGATTCATAAACTTTTCCAAATGCACCCTCATTTATAATTCTTCCAAGCTCTAAACTTTTGATATCACTTGATACTTCCAAAAAATCCATTTCTCCATCTTCTACATACCACAAGTTTGTCAATCTTGTTGATAGATAGTTTACCAAGTCATGATCTTTAAATTGAGTATCTTTACTTTTATGGTCCAATCTTTTGAAAAGTTCTTCACTATCACGTTTAACTTCTTCATAAGTTGAAACATCAAACAATATGGGTGTAATCACCTCCATCATTTTTGGACACTTCTTTGATAATTGATCAATTCCCACATCATGACAAGTCTTTAAGTCCCATAATAACTCTCTAAACATTTCTTTGTTTTCCATTTGAAAGATACTTACTTCATACCATTGTTCTTGTGCACAAGCTTTTATCAACTTGTATATCTTCAATATTGTATATTGGAATTCACAAAATAGAACTTCATACTCACTTCTTCCATTGCTACAAGCTCTCAAGACTTCAAATACTTTGATAACACGGCCAAGTGGTTGGCAAATATTTACACATTGTTTTTTATTCAATATAACTTTAGTCTTCAATAACACCTCTATTTCTTGATTGTAATTATAGCATTGAGTAAGTTCATCTTCAATATCAACTTCTCTTGCTTTGAGTACAACTCCAATATCCTTTAAAAATTTGTTACGAAATTCCATGGCAAGTGACAATCCCAATGTACAACAACCAAATAAAAACCTCCACATTTCTAAGACATGCTTCATAAACATCTTAACAAGATAGGCCATTGCAAATATTTAGAAAATATATATAATTCACCTTCAATCACATGAATAAAATCTTAGTACATATTTTACAATATTTTAATAAATTTTGATCACCAAAAAATTCAATGTAACAAAGTTATTACTAATAAACTTCATGTAGATTAAATAAATTTCTATTTATATTTGTGATTCTTTTTTTTAACTTTTTATTATTTCTTATTATTTATTATATAACAAATCTTTCTACATGTATAAATATATATATATATATATATATATAAAATAATACATAAAAGTTCATCTTAAACATCTCATAGTCTAAACAAAATAAATATCAATGATGTACATACCTCAAAATAAAACTAACAATTGATCCTTGAATTTACTTCCTCATCATGCAACCATAGATTCTTGAAATGTTCTTCAATTGCTACAAAACTTTCACATAAAGACAACATATATGTGAACAAAATTGATTAATATATAAATTATTACACATGATTCATACAAACAAAATTGAATCATATCTTTGGTAATAATTAAACTAGATCATTTTCTCAATATGCCATCCATCTTTCAATAATTATCTAATAACAATAATTCTTGATATTTTACTATAAATATGATATGCCATAACACTACTCTATTTAAAATGATATCTAATCCTCTTATTAAGTTTATAAGCTTTTTTTTTCCAATATTTTATGTTTCCTAAATCAATCATTATACAAATAACACAAATGAAGTAATCAATCAATGAAAAGTCTACCCTATGCAACAAATGGATCAACAGACTCAAAATCTTAGTAAACAAACAAGTTTGAAGATGTTCTCACCATACTCCAACTTGAAGAACTCTTCCATCTTTTAAATCATTTAGATCAAAGGTGTACCAAAAACAAACATCCAAATTAAGTATAAATGAAGATTTTTTATAATAATTTAGTCAAATGTGAAATGTATCACGACTAGATTCTTGACTGAACTAGTTCTAAAAATAAACCAGATTCTGTGATGTATAGTAACTGGTAAAACCAATCGGGATAACGGAATTTATGCAAAAAAGGGAAAGTAATGCGCTTTCTCACCTTAGACTACGACACCAACTGCTGGAACAATCCTTCGCTTGTTGATGAAGTTTAACAACACCAGTATTTGTAGCAATCCAATATTTCACAATTGATCATTGATTTTTCAATTGGTTGGTTGGGTAATCTAAGATGCGAAGGGGCAGATGACCACTTGAATTTAGTTCCAAAGAGTTTCGTTCTAACTCCAATTTGACTGATTCTGGGGTCGCCCGAAAGCGAAGATGGAGAGGCTCCGACACGAGGATTTCCACCTCAAAATTCAATATTCAACAATGAATGCAAGAAACTAGTTCAAGCAAATCCGAGGTGACCCAATAATGAACCAACTAACAAACAATGGTGTACCTTACTGTATTCAGCACTACACACACACGCCCACAGGGCTTACAATATCTACTCAACATCGGTATCAGAAGTAAGATGAAAAAAAACAACAAAGGATTCGCCCGGCCTCGGTGACCAACTGCATGAAATAGAAGATGGTGAGATAGAAGCCGAAAAAAACACAAGAAAGTATAAAACAGAAAAAACTAGTATCCAGGATCGCCTTTCCTCGTTCTTCTGTCTATCACATGCTTGCCCAGGACGACGTTATCTGATAAGTGTCCTTCCAAATTGGACTTGTTGTCGATGGTGAAAGACATGGTCTTCCAGAACGTGTTACAAGTGAATAAAAGCTTGTACTCGTTGGTTGGTTCGGACAACCGCAGTTATGCTTCAGGTGTTCCTCTTCAAAGGTGAAAGTGCTGTTTTTTGCTACTTATTTCGGATATTCGTGATACTTTGCTCTGACGAAAGAGATTCCTACAGTCGCTCCTGTGTCATCCTTCTTGCTGAGATTGATCGGTGACACTGGAGAATTTCTTATCTCGAGGTAGCTAGTGGGTTGACTCTGATAACAAGCCCGGTGAAGCTCGTCGGGAGGTTACCAAATCTGAGTACGATGTTCTTTTGACAGTGCAAGAGTAATATAGTCTCCGACTAAAGTTCAGTACTACCTGTAGTGGAAGAGCCCCAGGTCATATCTACTGTTGAGAACACAGAGTCATTCAAGATATATGACACAAACCAATTGAGAACATTTAGTCTTTCAAGACATATGACACGGAAAGATTGCAACTGTGAGTCAAAGAAAGCTCAATCCTCAAAATGGACTAAGAATCTTCGTAGATGAACAAGTTTGAAGATGATCTCACCATATTCCAGGTTATAGAAGTCTTCCGTCCTATAAATCATTTAGATCCGCTCCTACCTTACAATTCGATTACGCGCAAGTCTACACAGGATACAATTATGATATGCTGTTCAATGCCCCATCATCTTCTTGCCAACCCTCATCCCTGAAGCTGGAATTACAAAATTAACAAACAGATAAACAAATAGTGAGTACACATCAACGCAAGAATTCCAGACAGCCCAAGTCAATAGCAAAAGATTCGGACTTCCGCTAGATCAACATCATAACTTACAGTATCTACAATATTCAATCTTCTTAAAAAACCAAAAACCTCTTGATTGTTCACGCGCTTGCATAGGATACACCAAACATGAGCTTACGATCAACCCTATTGTCTGGCTTCCGGGCATCACCTCGAGCACCATACTCGAAACATAGAAAGCCATCATAACAATCTCGGAACCAAAAGAAAGAGAACACCACAAGATTACCTACCATCCGCGGCTCCTCGCTCTCACGTTGTTTCCATGCGGCACAGAGATGTCACATTGTTGGCATGCGTCATGTATGTAAGCGCAGATTTGAGCAATTCGAAACGATGGAAGGGCACTCAACAGGGTTTCGCTGCGGGATAGCGAAGGGATTAAGGGATTGGAGGGGGTCGAGGATCTGTGGTGGGGTTGAAACCCTAGACGGCTCAGATGAAAAGAACATTGATGGGTTGCATCATCCAAGGGACGATAATGAACCATCTAACAAACAATGGTGTACCCAACTGCATTGAGCACTACAAACACACGCACACACAGACAGGGCTTACAATATCTACTCAACATTGGTATCAGGAATAAGATAAAAAAAGTAAAAAAACAACAAAGGATTCAACAAGTGATAGAAGATGGTGACAGAGGAAGCAGAAAACAAGAAGAAAGAAAGAAAGAAAGAAAAACAAACAAACAAACAAACAAAGTAGTATCATGGATTGCCTTATCTCAAACGATTCAAGTGAATTGATATAGTATCGTTGGATGTTGAATTGGAACCCTGTTTTTATTGCCGAGGCTTAACTATTTGCAGAGTATAAATGCCTCATTTTGCCATCATCATCCTCTATTACAAATATAAATGTGTTTGTTTTCCACTTTAAAATTGTGTCAACAACACTTAGGATGTGTCATGTTAGACTATAACATGTTGGAAGAATGGAATGAATAGGGACAAGCATTCTAGTGATTCAAAGTTTGTCCAATAAATCATGTCATGTGGATGCAAAATGCAATCTCACTATGATCATATTTTTGTTTTTTTTACCAATTCTTTGAATAATAGCCACTTTATATTTATGGGTCAAACCAGAAAAAGAGGTGCCATTATTTGCACCTTCCAAAACACATATTGGGTGATTAACCATATTAAAAAAGGCTAGTACATGCATCAATGAAGGTACATGTGTGACTGAGTCAAATGTTTAATATTCCACTCATCTAATCTAGAAAATTTCTCACTAAGTAGAATCTTTGTTAAATATTTTTATACTAGCTATGTCAAAATTATCGAATACGTTTGTTTTTTAAAAACCTGTCATACTTAAGCTTGATAAAACCCACTATTTTTCTTACATTAATGAGGTTTTTTTTGCAGAGATGAAGCCTTATTTTGACCAAGTGCATTAGTTTCTATCATTAATAGAAATAGAAAATTAGTCATAGATATGTGCAAAGCACTATTAAGATGGTGGCATGTCTACTTTAAGTGCGGTTGGTAAATTTTCACTTCTCAACTGTAATTTTTTCAAATGAATTACAACTGTGGCTACACTAGTTGAAATTACATGTAGATAATATACCATATGATATGATTCTATAGTTTGGCTATTTGACACCAATTGGCCTAAGTCTACATCGCTTAATTTTCTGGTAGTGTGAAAGAATGACCTCTTTAAGAAGAGGGCAACCCATTTCCAAAGTTACAAGGCCTATATTTCTTACATTCTATACTACAAGAGGCATTATTTTAAGGATTGCAATGCATTTCAAAAAATCATGGGAATGATAATAACATCAAAATACTATTCATATATATTCTATTGTGATAATGAAGCTAATGAGAACTAACAAAATATTATCATGCTGTGATGTATTTAAGTCGAGTAGTAAATGTATTCGACAAACATTAATGTTAAGGTGCATGAATATTATAATTGAGCATGGATTGAGGCATGTGAGCAGCCGATCTTAGCTTAAAAAGGTGTTTTGAACACAATAGTGAAGTTAGATTTACAAAAAAATGCTTTCTTGACTACTTACAAGAGCCATCAGCCTTGGTAACGAAATTGGCTCTTGGATGAATGAAGGCCGTAGATTTAGATTAGGGATCTTAAAAATCAATGACGGAGATGTAGCCACCCTTCTACGAGCCTCCACTCAATTGTGTAAGAGAGGCTTGGTTTTCCAAGCCCTCTCTCTCTCTTCTTTTCGGTGAAGGGTGGAGCTATGCCAAAATTTGGCCAAAACCCTAATCTTAATTTTATTTAGATTTTAATTCTCATTGAGAACCTTGTGATTGTGTATGTATGGATTTTGCATTATGAAGGATGGTCATTAAGTTTTAAAATATGTTTTATTGAGGTAGATATCTCCTCGGCCTTTCAAATACCCTGAAGGTTTCAAGGGCCTCGGATTTTCTTCAATCAGTCACTCAATTTCTGTTGTTTCAATGTGAGATTTTGAATAGTTGTAGCTTTTTTTGTTAGCTTTCCAACAAGATAAGACTTGCTTGATTTGGAGTAAGAAGGAATTTTTGGTGAATTTCTGAGTTTGAGGGAGTCGACTGCCTTTGCAGTTTGAATCAATCGAGTTTGGAAAGGTATTTCTCAGTGCCCAGTGATTGAATTTATTTGAAATTTTGGGAGCATTAAGCTTTATAATCTAAGTTCTAAAAGACACAAGTTTTTTTGAATTTGAAGACAATCTGAATTTTTAGTGAATTTTTAGTAAGTTTTTAGTAAGTTTTTATTCTTATGGTCAATTAATAGTAATAACTTAGTTAATTATTTTTATTGTATTTACATAGTAAATTTCATTTAATATATTAATTTAATATTGGTAACCATTTCTTAGAAGGTCTAAAATTAATTAAACTTTTAATATAAAGATTTAAATTAATCTAACAATTACACAATTGGGAGATCTCCAATTCCACCTCTTGGACTTGTTGTGTGGCATAAGTTTCATCAAGTGGTGAAATTTGGCCTCACACTAGAGCAATACTATAGATTGCAAAAGTACCAATTAATGAACAATCAACCAAATGTAGGGCTTGGAGTTGACAATAGTCTTTTCCAACTTCCACAAGTCCTTCACCGCCTATTTTTTGCTAATACTTCAACACATGCTCTTGGAGCTCTTTGTAACAAAGTACATCAAGTTGGAAAGAAAAATCCTTCAAAAAAAAAAAATAACAAATCAAAGTATCTACTAAACTATAAATTATGACCAACAAATAAAAAAGACCCTTCATCAATTACAAAACATCTCCTAGAAGTATCAATGATTAGTAATCATTGCTTCACTTAAAATTAATGTAAGTCTAAACCTCAATATATGGCATGAAGAATTGAAAAATATTGATGTTTCATCATGTTAAAAAAGAAGATTTTTCTACTATCAAGAACAATCTACAACTTGAAGCCCTACAATTCCAATGTTATGACATCGGTTTATTTCTAGTGCTTCAAGTCGAGGACAACCTCTAACAATGGCAACTAAGCTGCAATCACCCACATAGTATAAGTCACTCAATAAGACTTTTTCTTAACTTTTTGTATCCTCCTCCATTAGCCACCAAACTTCTATAGATAAAAAATATGTGAATCAGTAAAGAATATTATAATTGCATAACTAAATCTTATTCATGAGCATAGATTGCTTTGCACCTCTTTTTTTTAATTTAGGTTCTCTCGCAAAAGTGGTATGTTCACAAAAAAATATGCATAATAGGTATTTTTGCTATGGTTAGTAATTTTTTTTAACTAAAAAATTTAATATCATGAGTGAATAAAATTCTATTTATAATATTCTTATCTAAAGAGAAATAAGTCTTAAAAGAAAATATCAATGCATAGCTAATCAAAACAAAATTACATAATTTATTAAAAAAAATAATTGATGCATATTGTTAATTGTATAATGAACTGTGAAAATAGAAAACTTGTCAATTTATAAATTTCCAAAAGTTGTATAAAACTAAGTTTTCTAATAAAGAATAATTATGGCCAATAATATTTACACATTGTAGTCAAAGCATTTGCAATTTTGTACAATTTTGACCAATTACTAATATACTATCTATTTCAATATCCTTGAAATCCAAAGTGAACTTCTTGAGCATATCACAATTGGTACCTACAATCTACAACTAGAGGCAAATAATGACAAGATGCCCAATTATCAAAACCAAGCAACGTACTTAACGAGCATTCATATCATTAACATATAATCTAAGACTTAATACATAAGGCTTAATACATCTAGACTTATATAGACTTTATACTTCTAATGCTATGCTAGACAACTTACCAATTGTGATGAATTAGGTTGAGAAAGTAGGACACATACAAAAAATGATTTAGATCAAGAACTGAATGACCTTCAATGCCATATTGTCATACTGTAAATACTTATAGTATGTAAAAATTAATTAAAACATATTTTATGTTCATAATTCTTGATGTGTATTAGAATGGTTAATAAATTAATTTAAAGAGAGTGGATATAAAAAACTTTATTTTAAATTTTATCTATTTTTATTATAATATTTAAATTATATAAGATTTAGATATTTAGTATAGAGCTTTAAGAGAAGGTGGAAGCCTAAGGATGAAAATCTAAACTATTATGAGGCTTATGGAGAGGGATGAAATCAAAGCATAGTCGGATGAAGGAAAAAGATAAAGTTCTTTATCTCTATTAGTCAAAGGCCATATCTAATGGACATTCAATAGGCTATCCATGCCTATAACAAGGATTTTGGCAACTTTAAAAAGGCATGTCAGAATCAAAAGTAAAGATTGTAAGGTTTGGGATTTGGACTACAATTTGTGTTCAAATTTTAGAGGATTTGGAATTAAGATGATGAAGTTATAGCCGTTTGAAGTTAAGGTGTTGTTTAAGACATACTATTGCTATTTTGAGGATACAAAGAGTTTTATAATAGATTTTGAAGATCGAGAGGTGTAACCACAAGGGTGATTTTAAGATCTACATCTTTTGTGAAGGTATTTTTGTATTTGAAGTTTTTATAAAGAAGTTATAGAGTGCTGAAGATAGCACATATAATTCAGAGGCAGTAAATAAGTCATCTTGTTGATAGTAATAGTTGGAGCCATATTATGAGTTTTTGGATGAATTTTTGCCTAAAAATTTCCAAAAGTATATATTATTGAGTTCAAAAGCTATATATCAAAATTTTATATTATTTAAATACTTAATTTGTGAGATATGAAGAAATTTACATACAAGTATATGTAAGCAAGGGCTTGAAGCTACTATTAGAATTTTGGTGATATCTCAAGATTCATAATGAATTTATGGTTGAAATTTGTTGTGGTAGTTTTTAAAAATATATTAGTATTTTATGTAAATTTTGAATTTGTTTGGATGCTTCAATCATGAGATATAAGCTGTTGAAGTTTGGA